TAATGGAAGGAATGAACCCTTAATTGTGAGGAGTTGCAATATGTAAAGATGAATGTGAAGGTGAAGCATCCACTAATAAGAAAATTCACAATACTTCTCATTTTTAGCCCGTACTAGTATTTTGATCATTTAGTTTTTAATTTTTTTAGAGTCAGTCTGAAATATATATATATATATATATATATTTTAAAAAAAGCCACATTTCTATAATAAAATTAATTTCCTGAATTTTTTTCTTCAAAAAAAGAAAAAAAGGGAACAACACAGAAAGCATACAAATTACAAAGCAATCTAAGTAACCATAGCCGGCGGAGATGAAAACAATGCAGTAAATACAAAAATGAAGATGAACTACCTTTCCCCCAATTAGAACATACCTACAAACAGCCAAAGGGCTAAAAACCATTCTTGGGAAAACCCTTTTCACCTAGGCTTTAAAACCTCCCAATATTAATAAAAATTATGATAGCAAAATAATCATAAGTTAACAGTGTTGTATAGATCTTATGATCAGGTACGATGAAGGGAACAGTCCGCTCTTATTTCTGTATCTGTTGGAATGAATGCACAAAAGAAACAGAATACCAGCCTTCTATGCAGGCTAAGGAACAATAAAACAAAAGGTATCAGCAGCTTCAGTTTGGTGCCTATAAAAAACCAGCTAGGCAAAACACCTGACCCTCTTTGTTCTGGATAAGAATCTCTGATATTCGTGGTGTGACACGTCTTTATCTAGTTGCGAGCAAAACTAACCCTCTTGTTAGCTTTGCTACTTCTCCAAAAGCGATCTGTCTGGCTATCATCCCTTTGAAACCTGGAGCTTTTGTAATCATTCATATATCGATCAGAACCTTCCCTCTTTCGACTACCAACAGTCCGGGCTTCCCAATCACCATTGCTTTTTCTTACACCTAACTCTCTTCTAATATTATTATAACTGTCCTGCTGTTTCCAACCTCTTGAATTTCTCCTGTAATTCACCCATTGTTGATTGCCACGAGCTCCATTATCCTGAACAATGCTACATCCCCAGGGATTATCCCCATTGTCCAATTTCTTTGAGTCTTTCTGGTTCTGGTTCTGGTTCTGGTTCCAAGAATTACAGTTTAAATGACCCCATCCTTTGTCCCCTATAGAACCAATGCCTGAACAGCTATGCTCCCAAGGATTATCATTAGCAACACAATCTCTTGACAAAGTTTTATGTTTTCCCCACCGGCTGAAATCCTGTGATTTATCACCACAATTTCCCCACAAATCTTGCTGGCTTGCTTCATTTTGCTGGTTAGAGTTACACTTCCAGGGATCATCATTGCCATTCAAATTCTTGGAGTCCTCAATTCTACTATTCCAATGTCCCCAGGCCTGATTATCCTTCAAAGATTCACCACGTTGAATATTGTTGCCACACTCCCAGGGGTTATCAACCTTACATGGATCATCATTACACCCATCTGGTGGAATAGATGCTGCTAACTCTCGTTCTAAGTCTTTAATCAATTCAGGATTAATGTCAGGATTCCAATCAATTTCATCAATATAAATATTCGGGTCAGGGAGAGAGATATCACAGGGGAGGCCATTGATCTTCAACCAGTATCTCTTTTTTGCATTTTCAAAAGCTTCTTTCCCTGCTGAGTCCTCCCATTGAAGTACATTGCTGGTAAAATTCCACTTTATTGATCTCTGGACATCCAGAATTTTCCTCCATGATACTAATCCAACTAAAGTGCAGAATTTCTTTTCCCATAAAGGAACACCATCATTGCAATACTCTATAACAGGAGCAAAATTTGAAAAAGGATCAGTTAGGAACAAAGGGCATGCAGGGTAGCAAGCCATACAGAATTACAGAGACTATACCACAAGAACATACCAAACAAATACAAACCAGAAAACACCTTCTTTCATAGAAAAACCCTAATTTTCACCGCTGATAATATCCATTTTATCATAGGCCCAAATCCATGTTCTCATTCACATACAGAAATCATGACGCATAAATTTCAACTAAAATCACCCAGAAAGATATTAATCAAAAATGCAATTTCATGATACCCAGTTCAATTTCTTTTTTCCTTTTTTTTTTAAAAAAAAAAGAAAGATAAAAAACGCTAAGGAAACTTTCAACACGAAATACCCAGAAATTGCAGTAAACTTACAATAAGTAGGTCACATTCCAATAACTCAAGAAACTAAATTTACTTAAAACTCAACATACACAACAATACGCAAATTAAATCTTAGATGGGTGCCTAAAGTACCTGAAAGAGAACGTTCTGGTTCGTGATATGACGGAGGCGGCGACTTATAAGCTCTTTCTCGACCATAAAATCTTTTGCGGGGTCGATGATCCCACTTGCCCATCTAACCCCAAAATCAAATTTCCAACTCAAAGGGTCTCCAAAATCATTAGAGAAAGCAAGAAAGCATTCAAAGCTTCATAAAGAGGGAAACTTTGTGGGTTAATTTCAAGAGGGTATTTTGATTTTCTTGACAAAAGAACTCGTTTAAGTACTCAATGAAAAAAGCTCAAGATTCTAATGGAAGTGAAGACTTGGTTTAACGGATGATGAATTTGATGATACCTTTCTTCGAGAATCCGAAGGGGGGTATGAGTACCGGTGATGCAACCCCCATTAATAGTCACGTTTTCTTGTTTTTTATATAATTTCGATTTTGCCACTACCCACAACCAACTTTTGCGTCAAGCCATTTGCTCTTCTTTGGGCCAAAGCTTAGGTGACCCATGGATTGATGGACCTAAACCCATGGAAAAGCAATACCTTGGGCTTGATGTGAACTGGGCTAATATTTGATCCATGTGCTCAGAAAGAAGAGACACCAGACAAGCATCATTGAAGTTTAGGTTCCGTTTGGCCCTCTCACATTCTGTCATTTTCTCCAACTCTTAACAGATATCAGTGCGTTTTGGTCTGGAATACAGAAGGATCCCTCTCATTGTTCCATGGTGGGGTTGGACTTTGGAGGCAATAATAGCTGTGCTGTCCTTCCCTTACTTTGGCATGTGCCCAATTCTTGTTTTGTCCAGTGGATTTCAACCCTTCCCAAGGATCACAGCAGCCCTTCCTCCTACAGGGTAAAGTAATAACCTTCCATGATCATGCATAATAGAATCTTTATTTTGTCTTCCAAGAAGGAAACTGCCATGGTTCTCCTCTCCACATAAAAACTTGGGTAGCTCTTGACTGAGAGAATACTAGAGCTTTGCTAATTACTCTCCAAATGTAGTCAAGGGGATCAAAAAGCCATCAATTACACAGATAAGTGTCTTCGATTCTTTCTTTTCCTACTCTTATGAGTTTTGGTGAATCTTGATAGCAAATTATGTTATCATATTGTTCAGTCATCTAAAACAGTGGTTAGAAATTTGTGATACACTAAATAATTAGGGAGAGAATAGGGAATAGAGAAAGTCAGAACTTTTGCTTTTCTTGAAAGTAGGAAAGAAAGAGGTATTTATTCTTCTTCCTATCGTAAAAGATGGAAATGAGACTATTAGTATCAGCATGAATCATGGATCACGACTACTGCTTTGCAAGGGCCCTTTTAACAGCTGTCATTCCCAGCACAACCCAAGGGTTTTCCTCTTCACATTCTTTTCACTGTTCCACACCCCTCCACTTACCTCAATTATGGCAATAATGGCTATGTGTGGATGTTGGTGTGCACAACTGCACATTCCACCTCCTCCTTGTACAAATAAAAAATAAAAAAAAGGGAGGAAATTTACATCTTGAGGACCACAAAGCTCAGACTTGTGTTTGTATAGATTAATGAACCACAAATTTACTCAAAAAAAAATTTCCTGCTAATGAGTACTTAAATCGTGCCCCCTTTACCTCTAGTAGAATCCCAATCTTACTAGGAAAACTTTAGCCATTGCCTCAATTCCCGAAATAGAGGGTTTATCGAGAGAGCTTGTTGGTTAAATCCGACCAGGCTAGCAAGCACTGAGGCCGTGAGGCGTGAACCAATGGAGGCTCCACAGGGCCATCCCTGTTTGCTACATCCTTCTCACTGCAAAATCATTCAAGGGTAGTTGAGTAATTCCATTCCCAACAGACATTTTCAAATGTCAGTTACAGATGAGAACAAGTGGGACTGGGGAAAAGCATAGAGGCCCCATGAAAGCGTAAAAACCCATCATGGAAAAGACGAGATTCATGAGAAATTTATGTCTTTGAAGTTTGAACACAGAAGCATTAGTGTAAGCTGTCAGATTTATGAGCTACCCATGAATTTAACTGAATTTTGGGCGTTTGTGGCGTCCGTTCTCAAGGAGAATTCGGGCTTTCCTTCAGTTATTTTCAGGTGAAAACCCTTCTTCACCCTCACTTTCTCTGTTTCTCACTTGGCCTCGGGATTTGGTGTTGCAAACAAGGGGTTGGGCTGATCTTTCTTGAAGTCAAAATCCTATTCCTATATCCACAAGTTCAAGTTCCCAAGAAGCAAACTTTTTGAAGCGGTGATTTCTGTTTTATTCCACAAATTCATTACCATGAGATTCTATGAACTGAGTAAGCAAACTAGAGCACATTTTCTTCACTTTCTATGTGGGTTTGTACTTTGGAAGCTAGTAGCACTAGACTAGGCTTAATAAATTGTGCTTCTTTCCCTTGACCCTTCTTGACCCTTTTAATTTTTCTTTCTCAACGTTTGATTTTCCTAATAACTACCATGCGTCATGTCTCACCAATCTGATTTGGATTCTATCTCTTTCTGGGTGTGTTTCATTTTTCATTTATGACGTTTTCAGGAATGGCTGTTCCAAATAAAACCAGAAATTCAGGAGCACAAGCTACAGAACTGTAAAGATTCAGAATTTTTGAGAATCTGTGTAAGTGATGATTCTTCAATGGGCAAGAAGAAGAGCTGGTTCAATCTAGTGAAGGGGTTCTTTCTCTTTGAGACATTTTCAAAAACAGACAAGGTATTCAATTCTCTGCTCCTTTACAATGTTTCATACTGCTATTGTTTGTTTATTGTTTGTGTGAAGTGAATGTTTTTTATAGCCATTACATAACCATTACATAAACATTACATATGAATGTCAGAAGGAGAAGAGAAGGAAATGGATGTTTGGAAGGCTTAAGGTTAAAAGGTTACCTTCCATTGCCGCATCATCACCACCTAGAGACAGAACACTGCACGAAACAGAGGAAGAACAAAGCAAACATGCTTTGACTGTGGCTCTGGCTTCAGCGGCTGCTGCTGAAGCAGCTGTTGCAGCAGCCAAGGCCGCAGCTGAGGTTGTCTGGCTCACTAGTGCTCCTCAATCTACCCGAAAGTGCCAAGAAGAAACAGAAGGATATGCAGTTGACATCCAATCAAATTCCCCTCCATGTACCGTGCCATGTGAAAGAAAGATCCAAGAACTTGCTGCCACTAAAATTCAGACTGCCTTTAGAGGCTACCTTGTAAGTTCCTTTCATATCTTTTTCACTATCTCTATTTAACTTCAGCTTTCTTAGCAGTTTCCTAATGATCTTCATCAAAATTATTTGAAAATAGATGTTGGGTTTTAGTTTGTTCTTCCCGTAATCAAATCATGATAAGATGGATAAGAATTACCCCGTTCTTTAGCTTGATTAGGGTTTTTAAGTTCTTAGGGAGAGCATTGCAGGGTATAAAATCATCTGCATTGGGCAGTTGCTGATGATTCTGTATTGAATTTGCTTGGAATAGAACAGGAAGTATTTTGGTTTCTATTTCAAAATTGTTCATAATGAAACCATGCTAAATTCTAAAGGAAAGTATTCCAGGCTAGGAAGGCTTTGAGGGCATTGAAGGGGATAGTGATGCTTCAAGCAATCATCAGAGGCCAGGCAGTTAGACGCCAAGCAATGACCACCCTAAAATGCTTACAGTCCATGGTAAATATACAGTCTCAGGTTTGTGCAAGGAGATTCGAGATGGCAGAAGCCACTCCTCATTTTGGTGAAAGTAAACAGTTTCTGCAGACAATGAAAGACAATATCATAAAGGTGAGTGCAGGATGATAATCCTGTAAA